AGAATCGACATTGCGGCACAGAACATCCACTACATCTCTAGCCGCAGCCACCTGCCACCCGCACCCCCACGCTATATTTTACATCGCTTAATCGTTCTTTCCGTTATATTGCCCGTTTTTTATCCCGTACTTAAAGCAAATATTCCTGTTTCTATAAAACGAAACATTGTTCGATCGCCCTATTAACTATAATAGACACTTTTAATTGAGAACCTATAAAAGGTTTTCGCGAACTGTTGCCCTTATAAGGGTGAAGCATTCATCATGGAAGCCGTGGTTCTCATCTGCCCAATTAATAAAAGTTGACTGCAAGGAATGGCGAGCAGCGGCTGCCGCCTGCTCCCGCGCCGCCGCCGCCCCGCCTGACGAGTACCGGTTCTGCACGCAGCTGAAACAAGCCCGCAAGCGTTTTATTTTGATTCACTTATCTATCAAGAACTTGCTTTATGAACGGCTTTTAGGTTTTTGCATGTCTTTTATAAGGACAACTGCCAGACGCATCAAGATTTAATCGGCTTATGTATAAACTTGTTGTTGATTAAGCCCAGATTCTTGTCGCCCACATGCTGTAATAAAATGCAACAAAACCTTCCCTCTACTTGACCGTTAACTTCCCAAACTCACTCCCTTTTTTTTGCGTTACAAAAAATGAATCACAAATACGACCGCGATATCTGCAATCTGGTTTCATTAATTCCCCTGAGGCCGAAAAAGAGGCTTTAATTCGAAATTTGAACAAAGGGAGAAAACAAAAACATGGAACAGAAAAAGGTGAATAAAAAGTGGCGCGGGCGCGTGCCGAGGCGACATGTGCACGCGCCGAGGATCCGCGCTAACGGGCCGTGACGCGCGCGCACCCGCCGCCGCTCTCCCCGCGCCGCGTGCATCGCACGACACGCGCTCGCCGTTATTTAGTTACTTACCTTTACTGCCCACGCTTTATTTGCACCCAACGTGAACCTTATCGCCTCAAAAATACGTGAATATCGTATACTATTCTTCCTGCACTGTACAAATCTATGTATCAAATGAATAGTGCAATAAGCAAGCACCCCTCACAGCGCAGTGCTGAAGCACTTCCCCCTGAAACCATACACATTCCCGCGCGTAACAGAACACGTTGTAACCAAAGCAGATTATCCGCTTAATTGAATATCCCGAGATTGCTTTACAATAGGTTAACCAAGTGAAAAATATCATTAAACAAATCCTAAATATTGGTATACGTAGTATACAATATATATTTAAATTACAACACCAGTTGATCTGTAGCTACAGCTCGATGAGTAGGTATATGTAACAATACTATATGTCACATTTATCAGAATGAAGTGTGGGTGACGAAATATCATAAATTTCTTATAGATGGCGCTACGACTAAAACGTCGTCGAAAAACCACATAAATACAAAAATACGACGCAAGCACATTGAAAAATTCGTGAGGTCAGCTGGTTCCTCCCTTGGCTTAGCTGGTACAGCGTCTTGCACGGTATGCTAACTACGCTTCGAATCCGGCGGAATCGAAGGAATTTTTGTGAGTGTTCGATCTTTGTATGAATAATTAGAACGAAGTTTACATATAAAGATATCTGCAAGTAAGAGGTAAAGGACCGTAAGTCCATATTTTGAGATTTAGGTAATTTCTTTTACAACTATTGCTTTAGAATGCTCATAATTACAACTTTTTTATTTAAAAAAACCTGACCTCAAAAGAGAATGGAATTACCTACATCTATTTGCCAAGTTTCATTGAAATCGGTTACCGGAAAGTGTTTGAAACCGGATTCATCTCCTAGTTTGCCACCCTTAGGGGAATATTTTCTTCAAATTTAAATGGGACCAATACAGAGGTCAATATCTTTCCAACAAAAAAGAATCATCAAAATGCCGCAGTAATCGCGGAACATACATACGAAAAAATATAGTCGAATTGAGAACCTCCTCCTTTTTAAAGTCGGTTAAAAATCACGCAATGATAAAAGTCATTAAGTCCAATCGTTGTTTGTTTTTTATTAAACATATTTTATTTGTACCTAAGATTGATTTAAAGAGCTTACTTCAGTTTAAAATACTCTCTTGTAAAAATTACTGATTGACTGTTTGGCTCTTCAGATACAGATATAAATATGTAGACAAAAATCACACGTCTTCACAGTCACAGTCTTCGAATGAATCTAGCAGAAAGTCTAACAAACGCTACCTACTGGCTCATAATTTAAATTGAATAAATAACATTTTAAATTCAAATTACGTACGGCTAGTTTCACAAGAAAAGCAAAGAGGCACCGCAGCAAAAAAACTCGATCTCTACTGCTGCTAAAAGATCTTAGTACCTTCCCAATAATATGAAAATAAAAGTTATATAGCAAAAACATTTATAGTAGGTAACTACGGTGTAGTGTTATGTAAGTTTTTCGGTTGTTCAAAAACCCTTGTGGTATCAAACTATACATGAAAATCATTTAAAAAAATATCAAACTTTAATCAATTAACGTATGTGCAATGTTTTGTCACCTTTCGGGTAATTATAGCTCAGTAAAATGTTATTTGATGGTATCTTCATTCACAGAATTTTGTCAACACCGAAAACAGTGAAAATCTATTCCGGTATATATGGTGGATGAGGTAACACGTTCCAACCCAACTGCAATACTTTTGGCGGTTTTGTAAAGTTGTGATTTAGCATTGTCATGATGAAATACGACATCTTTACGATTCCCCAACTATGGGTGTTTTTCATGAATTAAATACTTACCCGCCTTTTAAAATACGCGCTAAAATATTTTTTTAATTCTATACTCTTAGAATAATAACGCATAGAAACCTAGTCCGCACACGCTAAGTGAGGCAAATTGAAGCGCGCCAAAAGGGACTACACGAGCGGGCGGGCCTTCAGTGCTCAAGGTCAACTTGCACCGCGAACAGCTCAAGAATTTTAGCTAAAAATGACGAAATGTGCGGTAAATGAGTGTAAAAATACGTCAGACAAATATAAAATAGATACTAACATCACATTCCACAAGGAAGTAACGCGTTTCAACTTGTATTTTTATATAAATATTCACTAAAACCGAAAATTAACCTACTACTAAAACTAGCCTACATGAATTTGATTTTTGCCTCACTTGTGACAGTTCGTTTGATATGAAACTATCATTCTATGCGTTATTATTCTAAGCCTATACTATAATTTTCTTATTTAAACCATATCACAAAGGCTTTTCCTTTTTAGTTCTGAATAAAAATTCTCTGAGTCTGAACTGGAAAATTTCATTATAATTAGTTCTGTACACAGAACTATAATGAGTGTTATAGTTTTGTACACACAACCATAACGAGTTTCAAAAAGAGAACGTGGTATTTTTGCTTATTAAAACATATTAAAATATCAAAAGTAACGCTAATCAAACGCTGTACTACCACCTGATTGGTTAAATTGACCTAAAGGTCTTGCAGCCGGACAATAAACCTTTATTTAAATAGATGATTGGTTAAAATATTAGCGGTACTTGGCCACTTCTATTCTCTTTGTTTTTTGTTTTATGGCGTTAGTTTGGCTTTCGCTTGAGTTTGTTGTCAAGGATTGTTAACAAAATATACATTAAATATTGGTTGTGTTTCATTATTTTATTTACTCGTAGAAAAAGTATTGCATGCAATCATTACATAATTAGATCTTAAAATCTCGTACCTATTTAAACGCAGTAGATACTCGAATTTAAGAGCCATCATTAAGCAACGGATGCTTGTAATCTTACAGGATGGAAAAAATAAATCTTATAATATTATTTTAACATAACCATAGACAATTTTAAAAGAAAATAGTTCTTCGTTTAAAGTTAGGTAGTAGCAAAAACGGGACGGCCTTTTTGGCCGGTTCGTTACATACCTACATTTAAGTTTCTCGTCTTTATTCACCATGTGTAACTGCAAACACAGGTAACACTGATTTACAATACCAAAGACATTTACATTTCATTTGCATAGGTAAGTAGGTAAATAAAAGTACTTATAATAATTAAAGAAGCCATTAAATGTGAGAGGAATCAGAAAAGCATTGTCACTATTTTAAACTGCTTATTTCAAAGCTACGTAAATGACATAAGGTATAATTTTCAACAATGAATTTATTTCCTATTTCTTTAGCTGAGCAAGCCCATCGGGTAGCTCGTCACTCGTGTATTATCATAATCACATTGTGGTACATTTCGCTGAGATTGTCGTAAATAAGTACATTATCACATTCTACTGAAGTACTTGTGTTTTTAGCATTTAACATATTTATATACGTTTACACAAAACACATTAATATGTTCGATTTTTCGGAAGCAACCAACGCCAACGGTGAAATTACAAGATTCATATTACAATTGTTATAACCACTTTATTATATTACACCTTTTCAATTAATAATACTTTTCCAAATTATGGTGAACTATGTAAATAAATAATTTAGTAAACAAAATCTAATTCATTTAGAAAGGCTTCTAAGTTACATCTAAGCAGCGCCCCGCCCCGCGATAACCGACGGCCAATAGCGTTCGGTGGGCGGAGCCCCCACAGCACAAATCTAAGCATCAACTGACCGAACAGATTTCGGGAAAACTTCATTGACTATTTTAAAAATAACTTAAACTATTAAGCTCTAAGTAGATTGAAAGTAAAAAGCTGCGCAATAAAGCCCTAATGTCTATACTCGGCTAACAGTTGCTATATAATGAGAGAGTTTTAATGTCACACGGTCTGCAACCGCTTATTTGTGGGCATTAATATATAAAAGCTATTTTTCAGCGCGTCCTCTGCGCCGTCAGTGCGAGTGCAACCGACAATTAGTCGATGCATGCGAGGATGCGACGCGAGCCACCTGTCAAGTAGCCGTTTCATCAAATCATTTCGTTATAACGCAGCCTCCGCCCGACCTACTCTTTTTTTGTTAGCTTGAGTTTTGAAAAAAATAACGTTACGGTGGAGGCAGTCGGGTAGGTCGGGGCGTACGAGCCTTCTTCAGTCAGGTGCCAAGCGCCGAGCGCGACACACCGCGCTCGCATTGCGACCCTTCGCCGCACACACAGCCTTCCGATACACTACGTATTTCTTCTAAAGTAATGAACTTTTGAGGACCAAGTTTATTTATATAAAATGTAATTAAATACTTTTGGTGATCTATGAACTGAATTAATTAAGACGTATTATTGAAGGATCAAAGCCAGTTTTTCGGGAGTGACGTCTTAATAGTGTGAGGAAAAGCCGCAGCTTATTTTCCGCACAAGGTAAGCACGCGTGTACGCAGCGATTTGATGTGTGCGATTATTACGCTCTCAAATTCTATATATTTAAACTAATCATGAATCCATTCCTCGAGCATCCATGCTAGGTTTTGTACAACTATTTAATATTTGTTTTTTAATGAAAAGAATTAAGGAAACTTTTAATTTTGATGAAAGTTGAACTTCAGTGTGTTATTTTATTTGATTGCACGAGTTTGGTTTATTTTTATAATTAAACATAAAAGATAGTATAAGAAAGCAGAGAAGCAAACCAAAATATAAATTGTAAAAACAGTTATTTTTATTAAACAATAAAGACACCTTTCCCGCCAAAATCATGATCAGACATCCTGGATAGTCCGATGAGCATTAATGATTGTTAAGTTTACTTTAACTGTTTGGATTCAAATTTATGTAATCTATATTGTTGATTTAGAATACAAATTGTTTAAAAGTTGATTAAAAATAAGCACGACCTACTTTACCTATTTATAAATTTTTCTTTAGGTTGGTTGTGTGCTTACCTTTTCATTATAAATTCTATTTTAATATGCCTTTTTATATTATAATTAAATAGATATATACACACTATTGATTGGTGCTGGTATCATTATGTCTTCGTACTCTCAGCACTAACCGTATTGCATTCCATTGCTGGTCACACTGACACATCTAAGTAGGGAATAGGTATTCTGTATTAACCACGTATACAATTTCAACGAGTTTCATCATCATCATCTTGAACTTATGTATGTTCCACTGCTGGGCACGAGTCTTCACAACGCCGATCTAATACTGATTAAGGACGTCATACATCGAAAGGCACCGAGACGGTCCCTGCAATCGGGTATCAAACACGGAACCTCTTACTAGGAAGGCAAATGTTCTCTCTACTAAGTTACCAACGGTATATCAAGGAGATAAAAGAGTTTACGGCGGGAAATTTCCGCTGTCCCAAAGAAAAATAACAAATATATTCTATGTAAGCACTTATTACAATAAAGCATTTTGAAATACATGAAGCATTGAAACAAAGCACAAGCCAGTCACGTGCTTTGCTTCTACAATCACAACGACAAGACGCAATAATGGTCCCGAAAACAGTTGTGAACACAAACCTCTTTAATCAAACATTGTCGAGGTATTTTTTCTTGAATCTGTTTATAACAAGCAAGCAAGTCTCACCACACAGCTAAAACGGAAATTTTGTAATTATAATACAACAAAAGTCATAGTTGATTTGCCTTGTGGCTACCGATTAGGTAAATGGCGACCCCAATTCACTAGTCTTGTTTTCGAATTTGGATTTTTTTGTTTACTAATAGCAAATACATTGTGATTTATTTAGTATGTACGAGTAGATTGATTTGTGGCTTTAAATTTAGTGGACAGCTAATAATTATACGTAAACACCTCATGCAAAAAAAATGTTTTTTTTTATGATACCACTGTATTATGAGATAACACTGTTTCAGAGGCGGTAGGTTAAATCATTAGGCTACTACAGAAACTGTATACTAAACGTCATTGCCATACGCCTTTGTTGAAAATTTTAATTCATAAAAACGGAAAATTTAACTTCGAGGAAAACTTTTTTTTGTAGACTCTTAAAAACAAGACGGATCGAATTTATGTCCGGGAGTATATTGTAGTCAAAAAAGTCAGGAGGTATGTTTTTGATAAATTCAGGTGGAAGTGAAAGTATCTCTTATTCATACAATTGGAAGTATCTCTGATTTCTACATCCGTCTTAAACCAATTCCTGCAATGAAAAAGACACTCTTAATACATGTTAAAAGTGTCTTGTTAATTTAAGCATTGGATTCCTAAGTTTTGTACTAGTAGACATTAGTCTAAGTTAAGCAATTATGGCATGTCCTCCTTTTATGGAAATGCGTTTATATATATATATATAAGTGGTTAATTATGTGGTTCGATTCAAGGATAGAAAATACTGATCAATGAAATTTTCAGGCAATTAGATGATGACCCAGTCGACGAGTATAAGCGTGTGAAATGTATGCAATACTTTCTTATTGATCACGTAAGTGATTGGGAAAATCACCGTCCTTTTCGATGTTTTTCATCTCCCGGACCCTTCATATTTGCGTCGATAAGAACGTCATGTTTTCAAAGTTCCAAAGCTACAATATGCCAGACAATCACACTAATACCTGGTCTCAAACCATGGAATTCCGTGTAGGCGTACTAAACCATCGAAATTCACGCCGGGGCACTATTCGAAATACCCAGACCAGAACCAACTTAGAAATCATTTCCCAAATTAATTCTACCGGACCTCCTCATCTAGCGTCCATAGCGTATACCGTTTGGCCACTGAAGTCGTCAGACAAGAGGCCGACAAACAATTGAATACTTACGCACTATAAATGCGAACGGATATAAAATGTGAATAAAGCAAACTAGGACCCAAACTTTAGGACCATCTTACCATCTTTTTATATTGTATAGAAAAAAAACGTGTCAAACGGTATGTGAATGTGGTGGCAAATTCTTTAACTTAAGCGAAACACAGATTAGGTTTCCCACGATCCAACGTCATTCACAGACATCGCTTATAATCTATTTCAATTTAGTGTTATTATGTATCATAGTAGTTTAGTTATTTATTAAAATCACCAATTTCACCCATAGCTAGTGGTTAGCTAATTCTTAAAATGAAATTTACAACGATAGCTACACCACGTCCATCAAAGTCGAATGCAATTAGAAGTCTCTACATTGAATTGATTCCATCACCACTTGCAACTTTCCCACTAACATTAAGAAAAAAACACATGAAGGTGGTCGGGTAATTGCCGCCACCTTTAATGAAGTCCTTACTATAAAGCAAGTCTATTGGAACAAGAAATGGCTATACAACCCGCCAGTTAACTTGTTAGCCAATTAGCAGTAATAGCGTCGGGTGCTTTATCTATTTGTAAGTATGAAATGACATCGCTTACGTGAGTACGGTCTGTAATGCAATATTTAATCACTATTTCAATTGTAATTATGATTAAACTGTACATGATACTACGGATTACAGTTTTAAACGAACATGTGAGACTATTCACCGTTTTCAACCTGTAATTGCTATCGCATATATTCAGGGTTGATTTTTAAACAGGCAAGTACAATGAATACGGAGCCTAATATAGTTCACGCAGAATTGTTTTTTTAAACAACACTACAAACACATTTACAACAAATACATTAAATGCCTCAGTGGCCGAACGGTTACCATGCTTAACTGTCACGCAGAGGTCCCAGGTTCGATTTCCGTGTCGGGTGGAATATTTATATGGTCTACATTTATTTATCCCGTGACGGTGTGTGTCTATGGCACCCGCGACACAGAGTTTGCCTAATGCGGGGCTATGAATCTATGTTCGTTATTATTATTTTTGTTATCTACATTAGACTCTAACTAAACTATTGTAATGTGATGTGCCAGACAATCACACCAATTGCCTGGTCAAACTAGAAAATATCCTGCACTATGAGTACCAGAGCAACGGAATTCACACACAACACTCTAGGACACTTCCCGGAATACCTAGACCAGAATCAATTTGCAATTTCCCCAATTTGGTCCTGCCGGGAATCGAAATGCGCACCTCCTCATCCAGCGCCTATAGTATAAGCCGTTGGACCACTCAGGTCTTCACCACTATGTTTGAGCTTTCTCAAAAAAAGAAGGAAATTCTGGAAGAAATTGATGCTCAACAATAAGGCAGCCTATTGTATTTTGCTTCTCGATACCTCTAAAGAACTACGCCGACTTAATATTTAGACCTGTTCTGTTCTTATTTTGTTTTTTTGTTTCTTTTTTTTTTCAAAATTCGTTTTGTTTTTTTTTTCGAATTTTGTTTCTTTATATTTTGTTCACAAAATTCGGGTCATATAATATTAATAAATAAATATGGCTATTTACAAAAATAACAGAAAACTATTAACAAATAAAATTGGTGTAGTGATCATTATATCGTTCCTGTTCTGTTTGTTTATCTTATATTTATGTAGTTAATAAGAAATAATCGAATTGAAGGATTTACCTCGTCGGTAAGCTAAACACTTTAACAGAGTGAAGCACTTGTCCATTTATATGTATCGTTAATTCGTTCAACGAGTGTAATTACACATAGTGTAATTATAATTCAGCTATGTATACTCCCGGACAGATAATTCGACCCACTTTGCATTTTCAATATTAAATGCCCTTAGCTTAAACAATGCTTGATTGATCAAGAACTATTATGAACATGGAAACTGGTATACTAAACGTCGTTTCCTTAAGTCCTTATTGAAAATTTTAATTGAAAAAACCGCAGAAAGCTTTTTCTTCGACGATAACTATAATTTTATATTGTAACCATTTAAGGATAAAAATGCAATGTGGCTCGAATTATGTGTCCGGGACTGTATTTGCTATATACTGAATTACGCGCTAAACACGCACCTGACGCTGAAAACATATTTATAGCCCGATATATGGAAAACTTTATTTTCACAATTTCACATGTTACAACGAACAAAATTACGGGTACGTAATGCAGCAACGTTATTTCTTTCATTCATCATTTTGGCCGAAAGACGTTAATTGCTGGACGTAGACCTCCCTCAAAGGTCGAAACAACGACCTGCCTTACGCTGTACGTTTAAATAATTTTTGTGATCGTAATTGAATTCATAGAAAATCGAAGCCAAATTTTGCTTTTATGTGGGATCATCCCAGTTATTACTAGCTACAGATTACTATCGAACCAAAAGCTTACATTAGTACAAACAGCAAAACAAATTGTGCCCCCTCATTTATTACAACCAAAAGGGACGATAGCAAGAAAATATTGCAAATCATGGCAATCGTTCATTACTTATGATTTACTACCCGAGTTTGTAATGAAAATATTGTCTCACACAATCCATCGCATAGATAATCTAATGCGTATAAGCGTAATGAAGATTGTTTTAGTCGACGTGTGCATTATTAATGCGCATACGCAGCGGGCGCCGCGTCCATTATTCTGATTCTTCATTTGGTTGATTGAGCTTTTAATACGATTCACTGTCATGGCGTTGCTTGCGGCGCGATTAATCGAGCCTGAGAGCTCTGTCAACAAATAACCATATAGTGTGGACACTAATGACAGTGGACACGTAAAAACAACGATCATATCGCTATTGTATTTGATCTACTCGTGAAATCTTCATAAATTAAATTTTTCTACATGTAGGTTATTATTATAATTTGATAATAGCTATACGTGTCCTAACGGTAATTCCTGACCTCATTCCTTACATACCTAATGAACTATATACTTGTGTGCGTGTGTTTTGTACTTGTCATAAATTTTTTCGCTCTTTATTAGCAGATTTCGGAAACATTTAATAAAATTATAGTTAAATTATACCTACTCCATACATATTTCTGTTTATGGTTTCACGTACCACGCGCAATTACCAAAATCACGTTATTTTTTTAAATTTCGATTTATAGATCGACGCTTTTCTAGAATATACGAAGTCCGAAACTGATAATTCGTGTTTTATGTTCCGGTTTAATAAAAAACGAATACAGCATTTTTAACTTTCAATTGTTTTTACGGTATTTTTATACCTTAGTCGAAAAATACTGTAGCGAAACTAGGCACACCAAAGACAAAAATTATTTCTGTTGTATCAGCTGCACTGGAAACTTGGTGTTGACAATTGATGACTTTGAAAACACTTGCAATGCACTGCTACCATTGAATGTCATGGAAAATCGATTTTTAAAAGACATATCACTTTCTAGAACAAATACCTAAATAACAAACACATAATACAGCATTTAATGATTTGGGGTCAATATTTTAGGTGATTTGATGTTATAATACATTAGTAGCAGTAGAGCTCCTTGTGAAAGAGTTCGTCCAGGGAATTACTGCCACCTTACCTATTTCTGCCGCCAAGCAGTAATGTCAGCATTACTGTATTCCGGTTTTGAAGGGTTTTTCCGTCTAAGAGCTGTTACAGGCGGCGAGTTTTAGCAGCGATGCAAACGCGATGTATACGCGATGCAGTCGCCGATACAAACGCTCGATTGCATCGATGCAATCGCCTATAAATCCCAAATGTAGAGATGCAATCGCGAGGTCGTATCTATGCAGTCGCGTGATTGCATCGCGTTTGCATTGCTGCCTGAAATCACGTGCGTGTGTAAAGGTAGACGATTTTGCTTGCATCGATGCAAACGCCTATAAATCGCAAGTGTAGCGAGCTGTTAAACTCGCCATGTGGAACCACTCTTAAGTAGGTATTCGAGTTTAAATGTACAACATGATTTTGTTCACAGGATGTCGCGACACGTGCTCCTCTCGCGGCTGGCAGAGCAGTTCCAGGCGACGTCCCCGCCACCCGCGCACCGCTTCCCCTCTCCCGACCGTAGTGTGTCCCCGAATTCTCCCACGTCTCCACGTTCTCCCCCACAATCACCCGACTCCCTGCCACCTCATCTGCTGCAATTTGGCGATCTTGAAATAGCTGGAAGAGCTCTCAAACAGTACGCTAGAGCCACTGGTAAAAAAATGAAATTTTCAACTTGTGAACCTATATGTTCGACTTATTTCGATTTGTATCTAATGATACAATTCTTGTTCTATTGGGTACTTACAACTTTTCCAACAAGAAATCCTTGTCTATAGTTTTGAAGAAAACTTAATGCGTATTTAAAGTATTTAGAGAACAAAAATCTTACTACTCGACTATAACGTTTGTCAAAACGATTGGACGATGTGTCTAATTTTTTGTCGATTTGAATGTAAAAAGGTAGTAACCTATTTACCTCCCTTCGTTCCCACTAGCACCTCCGACAAGTACCACAGTGGTACTAGTGAGACTTTTTTCCGGCTAATACCAGCATTGCAACAAAACCAATCAGCCTTATAAATAAGTACCTAAGACAGTGCGATGATATTTGTTATGTTGTTTGTTGTTGGCATTGCACATGTACAAGCCAATATACCCACAAGAACAATCCCAGACACAGAATAACAAAACTTTTTTTATCTACCACCTTGTCGTACGCATGTCACTCATGCACATGTGTACGCGTGTCAAACGCAGAAAAATGAACCAAAACGAAAAAACGCAACTCAACTGATAAATAACGAAACCGATATATAAAGCTGCGAACACATATGTCAAGGTCACTAGACTAATATCGTTATCTGGCTTCTCATGTATATATTTAAATTTGAGTAAGTAAAATGTCATAACATATTTACCAAAATATTTATTTTTCTTTATAATTTCTGTTCTACAGAAATCACATTATTCATTACATTAACATAAAATTTACATTTAGTCACAATGCACATACATCTAGTGAGTGAAATTTTACTTGGATAAGAACTTTCAAATGACCATTATAATTCACTATAACAAAATAAACATATTTAAAACAATAAATCTTTTTAATGCATTACAATCTCAAAATTAAAATTGCTGTCTTACTCTTATTTTCTTTTCTTTTCGGTACTGTTTCTTCTTTCTTTTGTTTTATTCTCACACTCCATATTTACGTCTTGCTGGCTTTCTATACTTTTTTCATCCGTTTTTCCTTTATGTATGTGTTTTTATCTTTAGTTGTCTTTCTTTTCCTTTTGTTTCATTAGATCCACTTAATTTTATTTTTTTACTTTACTTTTTTGAGTATCGCTTGAATACTTTATTTTATTCTTATTTGATTTAACTCTATGTGAATGTTTTTTTTCCTCAAAACTCACATTTAATGGGGTCCTTTTTCAAGCGTTCACGATATTTTTTTTGCCTTTTGGCATACGTCATGGTTGTCATTTCTGCAAACAAAATTAGTTATAGTTAATTTTTTTTAATTAATTTTATGCACGTTTCAGTTTGTTTGTCATTATAATTAATGTATATGCAACTTCATATTTTCTCAGTTTCTTAACGTAACGAAACTGTTAAGAATATCTGATAAATTCTTACGTCAATTTTTTTTAAGCTCAACATTTGCCTTTCAAGTGAAATCTCAATTAATTTAGGAGTATGTATGTATATATCAGTAGCTTTTGATAACAAATAAATATTCAGAAATACAGTTTCATAAGAAAACAGTCGTTAACCACCTGATAAAAAATTGTACAAAATACTTACCTAACTCAAACGTCCAATTTCTTTGACGTAACAAAATGGCTGTTGATTACAAATATTAAAACAAGGTTCAAAGACTGTTGCCAATTAAAAAAAAATTGTGTATATTCAGAAATGCAGCAATTTATTTTTAAAAGCTATATAACTAACACTGAGTAACGAAATTGATTTATTTGAGTACAATAAATGAAACCATTTTATCCATGTAAATTATAAAGATATATTGAAGCAGCTTTTAGAAAATGGTTTATTATAGCTTTAAGAATAATCACTACCAAACTTTGGCAGTATAATTGCTTATAAACGTAAGTTATCAATTGCAATGGATACAATGGTCGCGGTAGGACATTTCAAAAAGTATGAAGGGTATTTCAACCTCATTTTTTTGACATTGAAAGTATTGAATATATTGTATAATTTTACCCTACAATTAAATATTTCATGGGTGGAAAGAATAAACATGGCAGAAAAGAAAAAGTTTTAGTCTATTTTCAAAACTAAATGTCACAAAGAAATTTTAAGTTGAAGGATATGTAAATTTTAAAAAGATACATTTTTCTGCGGTTGACCCACTTACAAAAAATAATCCTAAGCTTGTCCCTGTGCTGAATATGCCGCTGTTATAACACAATAAAGCGTGAATGAAACACACAGAGAGCGGGTGGGGGTCAAGCGCATGTCGGGTCGGGAGCGCGACGGGTCTAATTCCGTGTATTTTACGCGAGACGGGCGCACGGGCTCGCGCCCGGTTTGTTGTCGTCCATATAAATACACGGAATTAGACCCGCCGCGCTCCCGACCCGAGAAGCGCCCGACCCGCACCCGCTCTCTGTGTGTTTCACTCTTAATTGCAATTCAACTGATCTTGACATTTTTAACGATTCTTTTTATAAATTAACTCGTAAATTTTTGCAACAGCTTAATACTTATGTTTTCATTGTTATATTGTCTTTCACAAAATGTTAAATATTGCACTGTCATATTTACATCAATCAAATATTTATTTCGAACTCATAAATCAATTATTTCAATTAAATCTCAGTACCTTTAATGAACAATTTGGATTTATAATTTTTGTATTTGAAATGACTTATACATAAGAACTGTGCCTTACTAATTGTTTTTTTTAATGCATGTGTAATCTGTTGGTATTACTCATTAAATAGATATTTGAGACGTAACCTACATCAAATAAATTATCTAAAGGTTTTGTTGCACAGAACTGGGAGCTCTAATGTATTGTAGCGGCCTCGGCGCTTTGTACGGCGGTGCTGGTGTGTGGCCGCTGCTGCTGCCCAGGAACACGCCACAGTTCGCCAGGCCATCAATCGAAGCGACCAGGCATACACCGCCTAGAGAAGGTAAGCTACAGATTCTATTCTATTCTAGGAAATGAACTGTTCTATATAGTAAATGAACTGGTCTGGGTGTTCTGAGAAGTGCCCCGGTGTGAATTCCGTTGCTCTGGTATTTATTTATTTATGTAGTTATATATTACATATATATTGCTTCCAGTCAAACCAAACGCAATGGTAAGACTTAAGGCTAAATCAACAAACAGTATTAAGTAAATTACAATATTGAATAAAATATGAAAATTGATAAAATTTTAAATACAATATCACAAACAATAAATTATTACAGATTAATATTAATGAAAAAATAAATAAAATCCATTTCTTATTACATTTTAAACTAGCACCTAGGTACTCATAGTAAAAGCATTTTCTAATTTGATACCAGGTAATTGGTGTAAATGTTATTATTTACGTTTACCTTCAGTTGTAAGCTATTTATCTATCTATTATATCAACGCTGGAAAGATTTTACCAAATCATAACTCTAATTTTACTTGTTATATGGAAAACTAGAAAGTTTCAGCTTTTCCATATAACAAATAAAGATAGAGTTATGATTTTTTTTTCTTAAAAAAGAACTTTAAATCGCTCTTCTGTAATATTTTCCAAATTCACGTTAGACGTTTTACCTTCACAGCATTGTCGGTATAATTTTTATCGACCTCTGTGGTCGAGTGACTTGCTCACCGGTTTTCATGATGTCGCCATCTCTAAGGTCCCGGATTCGTTCTCCGACCTGGTCAATGCAGAAAGAAACGAACTTTTCTATATGCTGGATGTTTGTGGTACCGTCGCGTCGTTGTTTCCGATTTCCATAGAAAACACAAGTGCTTTAGTTACTTACTTTGAAATCAGAGCAACGTATGTGATGTTTATTATTATAATACAACATTTTAACTTAACTGTCTACGTGCCTTTATTTAACCGAGATCCCAGGATCGATTCCCGGACCGGGATAAATATTTGTATGGCCTACATTTATTTCTCTTGTGATTTTGGGTGTAATTTGTGGTTGTCTATGAGTGTGTCCATCCACCCGCGACACAGGGTCTCCCTAGTGCGGGGCTATGTTGAGTGTGTGCGTGATTATTAAAAAAAACATTAATAGAAAGTTTGAAACCCATACACAAATAGATAACCATAATACTATGACAACTCCTTACTCGCACAAGCACTTGTCACTTTTTTCTTTTCTTTCCAATTACCTCTTCCACCTTTTTTAGCTTATGTAGTTGCCTATTTACTTGTGCAGTTAATATTATAATTATATATTTACGTGCGCGAACAGCAGCAGCACATACTTTTTGTTATAGTTTATACTTTTTTGTTCTTTCAATTTTGTATTCCTTTTGACATTTTGTTTTAATAGTTCTTAATTGTTACTGTAAAGAAACTACAAATAATATTCCTGCTACGATTCTAAAGGATTTTTACCTTCTCTCCCTTTTTCTCTCTCTTAAATTCACTGAGTAAAAGTTTCGCCAACATCTCACATTCTGACAGCGTAATGATTCTCTGTTCTGATTTACTTCTTTTTTATCAGTTCACTTTAGGACCTATAGCGACTTTAGGACCCGGCACAATTATCGCCCTTTTGATGACACAGTACACTCAACATACACATACTCAACATACTCAACATAACACCCCGATACGATATAGTAGCAATAGAGCTCCTTGTGAAAGAGTTCGTTCACAGACGTACTGTCATCTTATCTATTTCTGCCGCCAAGCAGAAATGTGAGCGGTGCAGGTGAAATCACAAGTACATAGGACTTGTCAACTTATATATATACATATATATTTTTATATAATATCAAGTGACGGGACGAACAATTCGTGCGCCTGATGGTAACCTACACGCCTGTCCATAACAGTTGCAGTGAAACTCAGAGTTTTAAATCGCAAAGATCTGAGGGGCACTGCCACTGCGCCCGACACCCTGAGACATATGTTGACAAGTCTATGGACAGGCGTGTGGCTTACCACCAGACATACGATTCGTGCATTCCGGCACTTAGTATCACAAAAAATATATATAACAATCCAGTACACTATTTCTACCTATGTCTTAAGCTTATTTGTAATGTACTGTGATTCATAAATAAACGACTTGTCTATCTATCTATAAATAACCAAATAACTTTTTTATTAACCATCTTTATCGACAATAAAAATCTTTATACTTACACACCCATATTACATCTATACGTACAGTTTTACAAAACAAAAATACCATTAGGTTAATCTAGAAGTTTGCAGCGAAGTTTCTAGTTTCTTGATTGTGAAACGGTTTGCCTCGCTCTCCTTGCGAGGTTTACTCCTGACGATGCTCATTAGAATAGCTATCAGTGCAAAGTAGCGATTAATAACTGGCAACGGCGACACGCCGCAGTTTACATGTCGTTTACCTCCACAAGCTTGCGCTTCCTACGCACCAAGGAAACCCACCAACCACCAATTGTTCAATTCTGTATTCAAATTGCCGCTTATCCTCATTCGTACCGGTTACAAAACCATGTTACAAAAGATAACGAACCAACGACACACGGCAATTAGCTGTGGAAGTAGGTACTTGATTTAAATATGAAAACGGTCGCTACGTTCTGAAGATTTTTCCGAAAATCTTTTTTCTTAATAGGAATTCCCTTTTTGGACTTCGCCTGTACCGAATTTTCCACTTTGTATTTTTAAAGGTTTGTACAGGCTCTGCTTTTCAATGAGCATTGTGGAGGTACCGTGTGAGAAATTACAAGCTGTACTATAAGCAAACATAAGACAAAGATTTATATTTAAATGGCGCTATTATAGAAATGCAATCCAATTTAATGTCATTGTATGTCATACTTGACACTATTAACAAGAGCTCTATGAGAATTCAGGTATGGTAAAAATATTAAATTTTGAAACAATACAATTAGTAAACACTGACGTAACTAGTTGGCAAACAGCAACACACCTGTACAGATTTCATAAGTTGTTTCAAAGACGTCCGATTGGACTCGTCCGACTTTAGGATAAATAAAAGTATGAAGAACAAAACGTACAATTCATCTTCGCTTGTTTGCAGATGACGAAGAGTTACCGCTAAATTTGTCAACTAAAAATCGCCAAATATGGTCACCGGGAAGTGCATGCGAGCGCGAGAAGAGTGACGCAGGCGCAGAGTCCCCAGTATCACGTTGGGAAGACCAGGACGATTTAGATGCGCCACTGGAACTGGTGAAGAGGTGCCCCAGCATTGCTGATACTGACCGCCCTTTAAGTGCAGAACTACAGCGCTGCCCGTCCGCACCTGCGCATCCTACGTTTCCACCACCTCCTCCGCCAGTTGATCTCAACTTCTCACTAATATTGAAGAACGAAAATAGAAATGAAAAGTCCTTTCAGGTAAGAAATTCGGTAAAATCCTTAACTTATTTTAATTTCAATATTAGAATATCCAAAACAAACACCCAGACACAAATAGCTGCCTATACTGAAGAGCAAGACTCACTCACTATTATACTTACGTAGCTAGAGTTAGTTGCATCGCCGCAACTTCCATTAACAAGTTCAAAGTAACTGTACAGTTTCCGTTCAAAATGCTTTAAAATAGCAAACCAGTACCAGTTTTAGTCTCTTTAGCAAATCAAATAGAAAAACTGCCCCTGTCTTAATAAGTAGCCACGCATCGGGACGAGCCGCGCGCCCCGCGCCCGCCGCCGGCGCATCGCCACCGTCGCACGAGGCTGCGACTTCTTGCTCGTCTTCTCGCCATTTTTGTACTTTTCCTTTTTTCTACGCCGCCATTATAAAAATCCGCATCTGTTTTAATCAAAATTCCGTCTTTTAATATCACGATGCACGACGGCAGTGTATAATTGGACGAATAATTATCTTGTGTCATACTGCGATAATAATGTTGCTACGCCACTCAACGTTTTCCACACTTTATCATTAAATTGAGTGGTTGCGTTTATTTGGGATTAATATCTCCAATGCAGCGTTGAAAAGTAAAGGCAACCCGTAAATGGCGTCTGTATCTCTACGATCTCTGTAATTGTCGAGATTTATCTGACTTCTTATGAGCTTTAACAAAAATATTTAATGAAATGCGTTAATAAGTAAGTGGAGGTAATTAATAAGCAATGCAGGAAAAGGCACGTGCGAGCCACGCGACTGTTTTCCCCGTACCCCTCAACCCGCAACCCGTGTGGAACCTGCTGCCTGCTAACGGGCTCTCATAGCAATTCTTGGCGAAAAAATTATGTGCCAAGTGGAAAACGCTATAAAATCGATGAGCATCTTTTCTTGTGGCTAAATTTGAAAATGTCGTAACACCGTTTTTGGATTTTATTTTGGATAAATAATTTTCTAGTAATTCCGTTTTTTGTCCTTACTCAAAAGTTCACATTAATGGAGGTTACGAGGAGTACGGATTTTTTTTGTGATACCATACCATTGATACCATTTATGAATTTAACCGACGAAAAATAGTATTTATGTCAGAGACAGTCTTAGCCACTGGACGTACGTAGTTTCCCTACCCGATGGACAGACGTTGTCACATGGTATAATTTAGCACAACAGAGCTCCTCGTGAAAGAGTTCGTTCAGCGAAGTACTGCAACCTTATCCATTTCTGCCGCCAAGTAGAATGTCAGTATTACTGTGTTCCAGTTTTTTAAAGGTGCTGGTGATATTACAGGCACATGGCAGTGCCCCTAACATTTTATTGCGATTTAAGAAGCTGAGTGGCACTGCAACTGTTATGGACAGGCGTGTAGCTTGCCTTCAGGTGCACGACTTGTCCGACCCGGCACTTGATATTATAAAAAAAAGAAAAAAAACTTGCCTCACCCTTGGTTATAATAAAGCCATATCTGCAAAACGACAAATTATCAGGAGAGATTTAATGATTCTACGAACGACATAAGTCGAGAATTTCTTTATGCTTAAATATTGAGTTATAAAATTTCACGCATACGATACTTGTTTCATGAAGTTCGTATTATTTTATAACTTTCGTGTGTTAAAAGCACTTTTGATGTAATATCGCATGTGACTTTATTACCAAGGGTCCGATTATTTTAAAATCGCTTATAAATATGGCGAAAATTAACTTAACTTATTGCTACAATGCACTTGTATTCAATATCTGTTCATAATCTGTATTTAAATAATAAAATGTACGGTAAAAAATGACACTCGCCTTTTTAAAAATCATCGGGCTATCATAAAATATTGCCTCTGTACGTGGATAAGCCGATAACCATATGTGGACGGTCATAGCCTCGCACCTGTGTTGTTTATAAGAGAGTGCTTCGGTATAAAAAGGCAACCAAAAAAGTACCAGTTTTTGTAAGGCGCGAGGCGGTGCGCAGGCGCAGGGCAGCTGCTCGGCCAACTGTCACAGGCGGGCGCGGGAGCGGCGGCGGGTCGCGAGTCCCGTGCCCTGAGCCCCAGGGCCCGCGTGCAAATTTGACTCATGGATTACGATCATCCACTGCGCCCGTACTACAAGAAACTTAACGACCAATCATTAGTGGCAGATATTATAATACCCGATAACGGTACCTAGTTACGTTACAATATCTTTTACAAACTCTATTTAGGGAAGTAACTTTAATAAGTTCTGGACATGCATTGCAACTCGTTATAGTCGACGTAAAATTAAAAGCGTCTAATCTTCTACAACACAGCAAACTACAAAAAAACTGTATGGAAAAAGCGCTAAACACACATACATTAAAATGTCTGAATGAATGAAATGAACTGCCTCCGTGACCGAACGGTTCCCATGCTGGTCTGCGGCGCAGAGGTCCCGGGTTCAATCCCCGGGCCGGGAGAAATATTTGTATGGCCGTTTATTTGTATTCGTTAGTTTGGATATTGTGGTTGTCTATGTGTGTGTCCATGGCACCCGCGATACAGGGTTTACCTAGTACGGGGTATAAGTGTGAAAAACATTTATTTAATATAATAATATGCTCCAGGTTGAAACAAGTAGGTATGTCTTTAACTTTGTATGAAAACAGATATTTCTAGATACCCTATGGTTATATAGAAAATATATCACTAAATTTGAATATATACACACTGAACGTTTTCGGATCATATATGTGAATAATATTGTCTGGGTTTGAATAACTATCACATATTATGTACATTTTGATGTACACTCAGCCTTAGGAGGTTTAAAATTCCTGTTGAATCAAAAATCAGTCAAAAGCTTTACAACTCGCAAAACACCTTACAAGTGTTTACGACTCGACTCATCCCAAATATTGACAGCACGTAATACTCTCTACGTATGCGAGTGGGTTGTAGCTACAGGTACATACGCTGAATACCATCGTGTTACAGGTACACTGTATCTACTTTTGAAAAGAAGTACTTAGATAATGTTCACACAGAATTTTAATTTGAATACTTCTCATTTTGTAACGCTGTATGTTACATTTGTTCAAATAAATCCAAGACTGTTCTTACAACACAGTACAAATACTTCTAAGTGTGTACGTAGGCTGTTGTTCTTACTGTATCTATAACATGTTACTGTTTACTGACACGTGTAACTTAGACCATTTAAAAATTTCGTAGTTTAGGGATAATGTATAGTATATGTATGTAGTTAATAAAATAATAAATAATTTGATAGCTCGCATACCGTCGGAAGAATACGAAGACTGTAATAACCACGTAGGTACTAGAACTTAATTACTGGGTATTAAAAAAAGTGTTCGTAGTATCTACGATTCCTGAAGGAAATCAAAGAAAGGGTAAAAAATCAGCCCTGTTATTAGCTTATTACTGGCTGTCATTTGAAGGTGATAGACGCTGACAACTTTTGTTCTATGTCATTTGCCCATAATTAACCTACCAAGTTTATTTAAAAAAAGATTTTTCTTCAGAATAATAACATTGTACGTAATAATTTCATAAAAAATCAAATTTTAACCATATTATAAGGCAATGTAAAATTAACATACTCCGTAATATAATAATAATAATAATAATCTATAACTCAATAATCTTATATACATCGTTGGACATACCCATACTAGTATTTTATTTCATGGCTAAAGTTACAGATTAATTAAAATCGATAATTTTATGAAGCAATATTTTCTTTTAAAGAGTTCGTTCACCTTTCCTGTTTCTGCCGTCAAGCAGTAATGTGAGCATTACTCCGTGCTGATTTCACCAATTCCCTTACCTAATTCCAGGTACATGGGACTTGTCAACTTAAGTCTCAGGGTGACGAGCACTGTGGCAGTGCTTCTCAGATCTTTTCATTTAAAGCTCTGAGTGGCACTGCAACTGCTATGGACACACAGGCGTGTCGCTTACCACCAGACGCACGCAATTTGCGATAAGCAAGAAAAACCGTACCTGCCGACTTGATTAAATAGTTATGTTAATTAGAGTCAAGCGACACAATTTGTCTGTAGGTATAAAAAGCTCTACTGTTTCTGTCACGAAAATAAACAATTAAAAATAAATAATAAATAACGCACACACTCGACATAGCACCGCACTAGGGAAACCCTGTGTCGCAGGTGCCATGGACACACACATAGACAACCACAAATTACACCCAAACTTACGAGAGAAATAAATGTAGGCCATACAAATATTTCTCCCGGCCCGGGAATCGAACCTGGGACCTCTGCGTGGCAGTCCGGTATGCTAACCGTTCGGCCACGGAGGCAGTTCAAAAATTAATTGTTCTATGATTAAAAAACACGTTTTTTTAACTTTCTAGATACTTACCGTCAGATCTGTTCCACAGTTCCACATTATGTTTAAATAAAGAAGGAAATGTTGTTTGTAACAGTGCAAGCAATGTGGCAAGTGCTTCAAACGCTCGAGTACACTGTCAACACATCTGCTTATACACTCGGATACTAGGCCCTATCCCTGCCAGTACTGCGGAAAGCGGTTCCACCAGAAGTCCGACATGAAGAAACACACCTATATACATACAGGTAACAAACTTTAAATTTAATTAAAAATAAAAAAGTGAAAATTATATTTTTTTTATTGAATAGATATGATGATGTTTTACTACAATGATATTGATGTAATTCTTGTGAAAATACTTCACTAGTTTGTAGCAGCCACGTTGAGGCATCATACTTACACTGGTTCAAATCCAGTCGGATGTAAGGAATTTTTCTTCGTGTTTAAAAACAAATATTTTTATTGTTATTCATTTACCTGTATTATAATTGAGTGTCATGTTCACCTATGTAGTTCGTGAAGACTGTGTTGAGCACAATAGATTAAAGCCGGATTTGTCTGACGTGTCGTGTCGTGACGCGTCTAAACGGTATCGGTTTTATACATTTAATATGGCTAGATTTATATTAGTATGTCGCAATGTGACGTGACGCCTTGTGTTATGTGTTTGAAACCGATACCATTCTGACGCGTCACGACATGACTCATAAAAGACAAATAAAATTCACGAGCGATATTGTTTGGTACAATTATTGTTACATTTGTCATTATCATCATTTCACCTGAAAGGTGTCTGCTGGACCCCACCAATGATCGCCCCACAACGACTAGTCTCACTGCTCGCAACATGTTTGAATACCCAACCTACTACCCTCCTACTATCTAACGCATTAGCATTTTGGGAACTTTCGAGATATTAGCACCTAAAAATTTGTACATGTCAATTACTTACGCTGATTTTGCTTAACAATAAAATTTAAACTAAACAAGGCATTAGAGAGGGTTGTAGATCCTGTTTCGCCGATCCCAGTATGTTAACCGTTAAAAATTACGACTATATTAGTTTTCAATGTATTTTATTTTCATAATATACGGGTATGGCGCAATAAATACTAGAACGTAAAACTAGGAATAAATTACATGAATAAAATTGGGTCCTCGCGGCAAAGTTCCCAAGATGATGGCAGCGAGCCCTTTGTATGGCTATGTTAATGCGTTGGGAAAGCTAGCGGCCCTTGGGTTTCCCAGACAGTCTGTAAAATTTTTGGATAAAATTTTGTACAGATGAAGGGGCACCGGGACCCCAAGGGCCAAGGGTTTCGACTCCAAAGGCTGTAAATAGGTAGTCGGAGCCAAGGTCCTGGTACTCATTACTTTTATTCTTTCCGCCAGCTCAGCTGCGGAGCCAGCCGTTATATTAGTTATAATAAGGAGGGTATAATAAGCATCAACGTGGCTTTGTTTCGATTTCGAATTAAATTTTCAGATTTTTCGGTAATCATGTGACACAACAGACGTAATAAGAGGGTGGAGATATTTCAGACAAATAAATTATACATAACGGAACTTTCCTAAGTGTTAACGTGTCTCCCTCGTTACGTTTTACTCGACTTAACTTCACCCTATCATTTTCAATAAACTTTCTTATACGAAAAGTTGCGTAATTATAGAGGAAATAATAAGTTTGGTACAACAAAACATTTTGTTGCAACCACGAAAATTAGGGTTTCTGACAGATTTTAATGTAGATGGACATCAGCAAGGAGAGAGGACAAGACTACCTATATTGTGAATTAAATGCGGTTCGTTCAAAACGGCTGTAAACAAGTACAATGTCGGCGTTCCAGCTTGTACTCTATTTTTCCTTCGATTTTTAAACACTAGTGGGAATTAAGGTCTTGTACCGGAGAGGCAAACGGTCGACTTGAGAGAAGTTCATTAAAACGGAGGCGTGTTCATACCCAATAAAAGCAATCGCGCGACACATCGCGATGTCTCGCGAATTAAACATTTAAATGCAGCGCAACTACCTTTTCGGCGGCAAATCGCAGCCGCCCCATGGTTCGGTAATGAATTTTGAATCAATAAAAAGTGGTAAGCTTCCAAGGAAATTACACGCACTCAGTGGGAATTCCGTTAAATTTATTCCATTGTCTTAATACTCACATACTTGGTGATTCGAAAAGCTTACTCATAAAATTAAATGAAAATCCAATTAAATGAATGGCTTGTAAGGTATGTACGTTCGTGTAAACGTATTACCCCACTGACAAGGTAACGTTCGTCTCTATATCGCTTTAATTAAAGTTTTACAACAAGTAGTTAGATTCGAAATATGAGTAAAATAAAAATAATTATTGTAATTACATTAAGGAAAAGGTGATAATATTTGTAGTAATAATAAACATCTGAAGCAGCAAATATATTATGTTGTTATTTATATCTAAAACTTAGATATTTTTTCAGTTTTAACATGAATCTTACTGAACCGAGTTAAATAGTAGCAAAAACTGCAGAGCTTGCTGTACCCTGCTGTACCCATTGACCAGCTCCGGCTCTGCTATCTCCTTGTCCGAGGTCGCGATTCTCTCGCGTTTTATTTTTTTTAACTTCTTTCATTCACGCGACTTGTTCCCACACATATCATTATTTAACTACTGCTATTTTATTTGCAACGGATTACACTGAGTTCAGTACAGCTTCTGTGTAGTAACTTAAATTTATCTGTACCTAAGAGAAACTTCACTAATAAATTTGAAAAAACCGAAGTAGGTTCGATAAGCTGCAGGTGTTAATTGTTTGTTAATTTTTTACAAGTACGTAGGTACCTATAAAACTTTATCGTATCACGAAAGAGTAAACACTGTTTTTGCTTACCTAAATTGTGTGTACTACGTACAGTCAGTGAGACGACACCAAGCTGAGTGGATGACAGATTCCGTAGAAGTACACCATGCACACTTTATGTTGTATCGCTTGATTATTTATTGTTACAGTTATTTGCTTCCTGTTTGTGTGTTATAATTGTAATTGTTGTGTATATATGTGTAAGTTTTCCTCCTTTTTATTTCGATTTTTTTTCCATGTTATAATCATGTTTCGTAATTGTTAAATGTATGTGTGCTGTGTTGTTTCTTTACGGAATAAATATTTATTTCTTTCTATCTTAGTTATTTGGAAAATAAAAATAAGACCCTCAAAGCTGCTGAGTAGCAAAATAAACGTTGTCAGTTTTTTCATTTGCGATGACTACTTCCAGCAAGCTCAACAAGACGAATTAAGCACCTAAAAAATGTGGCAGACATATTTGTCTCGGCCAGAGACATCGCGTCACGTCCGCGCACTGTTTCCAATGATTTACAGCGGCCGTACATGGCGCTCGTCCTCTCGATAAATGCCTCATCATCAATATTCCAAAATGCGGCTCGGCCTGCAATTAGCCGCGCAGCCTTCGCAGGCCTTCACGCGCTCGCCGATCACGGCACCGACAAAAAGTAAACTTAAGTCCTGTTCTATCTATAAAATGACATTTACATTTTTAATTTTATTTATCAATATACCTTCTACGAGCATTTTGAAAAAAAAAACATTTCTCGCCAGCGTGCCATCACCATTATCGAATAGCGATGAAACAATTACCGCTAAAGTCGTTAAATCCAGTATACTTCTACACCATATTGCATACTAAATCAGTTCGATAACTGCTCTATAAATAATAAATCAGCAATGATATGACAAGTAGCGCTTGCTTGTTATACAAGCTTTAATTACCTTTTATGCCTGTGTGATATGATAGTATGAATTAGTAAGGGTAGTAAGGACAAAATCGGAATGCGTAGGATGTGTTATTGATAAAATGTTGCCACTTCACCAGTAATTACAGAAACCCTTCTGGAATCCTTTCATTACAAGAATATTACGGGGTATTTTATGTAAAATGACACATGAGTCAAACCGAGGCGAATTAAATCCGACTTGTATCGAAATTTAGTTCTGTTAATATGTTAGGAGTACTCATTGGTATATTTTTTTTGTTACAGGAGAGAAGCCGCACAAATGTGTGGTGTGTTCGAAAGCGTTCAGCCAGAGCTCAAACCTCATCACACATATGCGCAAGCACACCGGGTACAAGCCCTTCTCGTGCGGACTCTGCGACAAAGCGTTCCAGCGCAAAGTAGACTTGCGTCGCCATCGCGACTCGCAACACTCGGACGCTGCTGAAGCCCCGCTTTCCATGCCCCCGCTTCGCTACCGCTACTATAGAGACGAAGCGGCGCCTTTGGCTCCACTCGTCACTAATTGATCATCATAATCAATAATTCAAGAGCACGTTTTTAACTTTTATGTTAAACACTTCTGTTACAAGAGGTATCTACATGATGAATTTGGAACAAATTGAGTACGTATTACCTAGTTACCAACATTTTAAGCATGTTGAATTCATAAAATAATATTGTATGTATGCATAAAAATTCAAGTTATTAGCCAAAGAATTTTCATTGTAAAAAAGTACAAAAAATGTGGTCATTTATAAAACAAATGTTGTGTGGGTATTTACACACTCGCGAAGCCTTTAAAAATAGAAGTCTGTGGATTAGGAGTAGGAAGGAGCTAAGTATTTTAGAAATCTAACCATGTTATACAATGTAAATAAATATGTGAACAATGAGTGTTACCTAACACAGTGCCTTATAGACGATATTTGTCTATGAAACGTATTTGCACTAAAGCACACTTAAATGAATATTATCTATTAACGTGGATCGATCGGTATAATCATTATATTTTTGTGTAAAATTTTTTGTTTTATTATAAGAAAGTCAAACCGCACCTGGATCCGTCCGTTTATATAGTGATGTCTGACATGTAGGCAATTGATATTTATTTATAAGATTTTTGGGACAAGATGCCTGTATGACAGAAACCGGTTAACGGTATTACTACCTACATAGTTTTAGGTTTATAATGTATAAGGATAGTCTAATGCAAACCAAAGTAAAGTGTCTTATTTAGTCGAGTGTGAAACGCTTTATTTAATTTATATAAAATATTGACCAATAATATTAAAGTACTTTTGTTTTTGATGTCTAATTAATTTTAATTCGTGTGACTAGCATATACCTGCTTAGATTATTAAAGCATTTTTTGCATTAATGTATATAAACATAGTATATATACTATATACTTAGTATTTCAGTTGAATGTAGTATCACCCGGTACATTGTACTACTTATTATATTATGTACCAGCTAACATGAAAAGACTGTGTTACCACTTTTTGCCTACCAGTAATCAAAATGTCATATTACTACCCTTATATATAATTTTCTGACTTCGTACAACTAGTGAAGAACAGTACTTACAGTACGTAATGCACACGGCGTATTTTTTACTCACGGACAACGGTCGCAGCCAGTAAATTTTTGAGCAACTTCGGCGCCGTAAACGCGTTGTTCATGACACGCGTGTTGTCCGCGCGTAAAAAATTATACAAGAGTAAAATATATCAATACATTTTTCTTCTATCATCAGAAAAGAGCCATGTCTTAATCGTGTTCAATTATAGTGATTGCTTGAAACTTACCGATTAGTAATAAGTATAAATAGTTACTTTTTGTCCGTAATTTATAAAATGATAGTTTTGTTTAAGTACTACGTGAATATACCTTCGGGAACTTTGTCAACAATAAAAACATGTGGGAGCTTACTAAGGAAACTTTGACTATTTGTGGAAGAGTCCAACGGCTAGAACACCAAAGAGTACAGCTATGATTGTAAACGTATACTTACCGCTTTTGTGTGACATGTTTATCCAAAATGAGAAATCGCATTTTATAGATACCCCCACATCACTTAATTTTATCGCGCAAGTCTCACGTCACTTATTAATTTAAGTAGTACCCGTAGGCGACATTCTTGAAAATGCGATCTCTATAGTGACTGAACTAGATAATAAACGACATAACTACTTGTTAGTGTTCTGTAGTATTGAACATGTATTTAGAGAAGTGCATTTCCTGACCGTACTCGTCTAACGGTGAAACCGTTTCAGCCATGCAAGACATGAAAACTGTATTTTGTTTATAAGCAAATGTAAAATATAAAACATGGACCATTTTGACGGTTAAAAAGTTTCGTCAAGTCAGTAGTTAAGTTTGCTTTAAGTTGTAATTTATTTAGGCCAGTCTGATATAAATATTTTTGAATTAATTTATTTGTATTTTATTTAATCCTTTATTGACGTAAGAATTACGACATTTACCTTTAAAAACAAAATAAAAATGTAAACTCGAAAAATATACATTTATCCGTACAAATCAATTTCAAGACGGTAATGATACAAATCAAGTATCAAAAACATAAATCAAGTTATTTCAACTTATTCATTGTAGTAATTTATTATTGGTACACCTTATGAAATAACCCCTTCAAAGGTTTGAGGTTCTCTTAGCGGATTATTAATTTATTACGTGAATATACTTACTGTACTACTCATTTGGTACGTAGATAAACATTTACACTAGTACGGGTGGATATATGATTCAATGGGCATTGATTACAATCGCAATCAAACAAAGCGAAAGCCAGAGAGCGTACAATCACGAACCATAAAACAAAGTTATTAAAGAATAATTTATAAACGCATATGGAACATAGTACTCTCTCGAATATTAAGCCTAGAGCATTTTCGTAGTTTTAAATCGTAGTCCACATTATTATGTATATGCAGTAAAGTATGTAGATTGGTACTATGTTTCAAAGTAAAAATTCGCTTCCATTCCGTTCCACCGCAATAATTGAGCCTTGGATCACGGCAAGATAGCATAGCTTCGTGAAATACACTGCGTCTACTTCACACATTAGCTCTTTCGAGTCCTGGCTCTTGTGATTATGAACTAGAGTATAAGCATATATATATACATATAGATACAGAGGATCGAAGGAATATTTTCGTGTTCGATTTTTGTATTAATAATTATAACAAACTAGTGGAGTAATTTCACAAAAATAATTAAATATCATGGTGGAACATCGTGATATTCAATAAAAGCTTAAAAATTACTTAGAAGCGATATCTTTAGTCAGTTGCTGGTAGCTGTAAAGGTACGTGGCTGTGTGAAGAAATAGATTTGTCACAGATGGCGCTATGTTAAAAAGTCGTTACGAATGAAAACCGAAGATCTGCAACAAGCAAATAGAAAAAACTCGTAAGGTCCGTTGGTTCGTTCCGTAGCTTAATTGGCATAGCGTCTGCCACAGTTTGCTAGAAAACGTTGGTTCGAATCCAGCCGAATTGAAGAATTTTTTTCTTAGTGTTCGATCTTTGTATTAATAACAAACTAGTGGAGTAATATCACAAAAGTAATTGTATAACATGGTGAAACATTGTGACATTCAACAAAAACAAAAAAACTTCAAAATTAGAGTACCTACCTATAAGAAATTTTGCAATTGCTTTATTGAGAAACACTCCACATTTGTTCTAGTCTAACTAGAGATAGTCCAGACTAACCAGTCGTATGTACTTGGTAAGTAATAAATTTAACTGATAGTAACGCGAGCACGTAAGGGCAACAGGCTAGATGTAAACAAACAATTAACTAGATTGTTGGTCAGTACGTCACAAATATCGTCTCATAACTCATTTCGAATTAATAGTGTTTGTTGGAACATTATTACTAATGAAATCAAAATAACGTCGCCCGCGTCGCGTGATATGCATCAATTCTGACATATCGCACCACAAAAAGTCTCGTAATAAATTCCTCCAACGTAATTACTTCAATAACTGTATTAGTACCAACAATTCCGTTTATTTGTTAGGCAATATTAATCCACCATTTTAATAGATTGGTTTACATTGGTAGGTATTTGTCATAAACACAAACGATAACATAAATTAAGTTTTAGTCGAATATTTCTTGGGATATTTCTGTGCTCTAGTGAAAAAAGGTATAAGTCAAAAAAGCCAACTTCACAAGGAAACGCGAAAAAGACTTAACGCCTTTAACTATTTTTCGCGTCTCCTTGTAAAGTTGGGCTTCTTTACTTGTAATCCCTTTTCACTAGAGCCACAGATTTTTGCTTTCTATGAACTTAGTGAATTCGCTAAATCTTCTTTTTTATTCCCAAGAGGGTACCTTATGTACTGGACGTTACGATATTTAACCCCATGACACTAATCAGTACTTATCATACGCCTACTCAGCATTAAAAGGCTTCTGTTTAATACATAAACTGTTCAACAATGCTTATGTACTCTCGCATTTGCTTACGGCTTACCCCTTTAGTCCGCCATCACGATTTTCTAATACAATTACTAGATATATATAGAGGAACAAAGGAATCCATACAAGGAGCTGCATATGCAGTGGAAATCCATAATGAGATTTCTGACTAGTGGCACAGGGCGTACACGCTACGGCCGAAGGGCGGAAGGTTGAATTATTCTCATCATTAAGGTTAGGTTTACTTTTTTTTCTCTTACCTACAGTTAGTCGCTATGGACATCTTCTCCCCTAAAACTTGAGCTCTAAATTCGACTCTATGCCAATCAAATTTAAAGTGTATGAGAATAGCGAGCTACGAAGATAAGGCCCAAAAGCCAAATCATAAAGTTTGCACGACGAGTGTTAAACAAAAATTTATAAACAATTGAGATCATAAAAACTTTTAAAACTATATTTACGCAAAAAAATGTATAACAGAGCACGAAAACTTAACCAAATTCGTCGACGTATTTTTGATAAAATCGATGCCAATGTTATCAAAAATAAATACTTGTTTTAAATGCTTTTTTCCTTGGAGTATAGTATACATATACCTCTGAAAGATGACCAACTTGAAATCTAAATTATGCTATCAATTTGCTATTGTTATTGTTTTAGTTATTATTTTAATCTATTTTAGCTAAATCAGCTACACAATAATTGACACCTAACCAATTCTATCAAAGAATTACTGCCTAATTGGTTTTCTAATGACTAGTTACAGTTACATAGGTACATTTCCTAAGCTGCATTATTATAATACTGAGAATAACCACATTGTAGGTAACAAGGCTGACACAATTTCATTCTGAAAGTCTACAAAGTATGTAGTGTTGTATAAATAAGTATTTAATATATAACTATTACTTTCAATATATATATATATCTAGGCATGATTTAAAAATATAGAAAATAATTTTTTTGCAGGTATCTGTCAAACTATTGCCATTGAAAATTATGGTTATAAATAAAAGCTTTAGTTCTGTTGTTTTACACTTACTGTTTAATTTTGTTCATTACTGATGATGTTTCAAATATAAAAAAGTATCTAATAAGAAAATAACAAACAACATGATTTAGGTATATCTGTAAAATAATTAAAAAAAGCTCTCTGTGTCTCACATTGTTGATAATGGGTTGCAATATACAATGAAAAATATTGTATCTAAATGAAACCATTATATTAATAATAAATTTAAAGTGCATGTGACACTGTTATCACAGGATTAACGTGGTTTAACGACAATGATTTAACCAGTTCCATCCTTAGTCATCCCAATTCACTTGATGACAGTCATGCCATACGAAGGTACCTTTCAGTGACTGGGGAGCATCCAATGCCAGGTAAAGTGGGGCTCGAGCACCGCGCTCTGGAGTAAAATCTCCCATGCCTTTCGTCATATCAGTTTTGACAAAGCCTGGGTGAACACAATTTATTGAAATGTCTTTGCCTTCCTCATTGAACTGCCTCTGATGCACAAACGTTAAAGCCGACATTGCCACTTTTGACACCTTGTAATCTCCGTAATGACTGGCAAATGACAGGAATGTGGATTTTCCATTCTTAGCTGCCTGCAGGAAGTCCTCAACAAATTGCAGTATCTCGTCCACCGTTAGATCATCTTTGACCAGCGTATCGAGCCACAATTGTTTCCTAATATTCGACAGCAGCCCCCAATCACTGCTTATGTTGACAATTCTAGCATTGTTCGTAAGGAGTGGATACAATGTTTTCGATATAGTCAGCAAACTGTAAAAGTTCGTGTCCATTAACTTTTTGGAGTCTTCGTACGACGATACGGGCTTGTCAAAGTCCAGTATACCAGCATTGTTAACTAAGACGTCTATTCCTTTATGATGAGTAGAAATATACTTGGCAAACTCTTGAACACTGTCTTCGCTGGTGACGTCCAGCATATGAAACAAGGGCTTAAGACCTAGTTCTTCGAGCTTCCTCACTGCTTGCCTTCCTCTTTCGTTGTCTCTAGCTGTAAGGTACACAGCACCATCGAACTTCTTACACAAGCCCTTCACGATCTCGAACCCTAAGCCCCTATTGCCACCAGTTACTACTGCTACTTTGGTTTCCATGTTGTACATAAAAAATAGAAACAATTACGTAGAAAATACTACGTTGTAAAAATAAATATTTACTTTATCTCCAAACCTATTGACCCCTCCTCCCGGTCATTTTTACTACTTGACTTTTTATGTTTTAAACGATGCTGTCAAATTTTGAGCACAGGAACTTGACACATAGAGCCAATTTATCTGTCCAGAAAATGCCATAATTTGTTTTATTGCATCAATGGCGAGCATTTATTTTTACATTCTCCAATTATTTATTTGAGGTTTCAGATATTTATTCTCATAAGAATTTACAATTCACTTAAATGAGAACCTATGGACTAATTAAAACATTAATAAGTATATTTTGCATACGCGAACGTGCTGCACTCTTAATTATTAGTAATAACTTAAATGTGAATGATAAAAAATAATTACGCTTCTATAAAAAAAGAACACTAAAAACATAAAAATTTGATCGATGTTGTTTTTGTTTATTTTAATGTGGGTAAATTTTAAACTTATTATTATTACTACAAAAGCCGAACCAGTGCGCCGTTGAACCAACAAAAACAGTGAAACGTGTTACACAGATCAGCAATAACTAGATGTGGTAACTTTTCGAGTACAGATTGATACGATATGTTTTACGTGTTGTTGCTAATTTTATTATTTTGATCAAATAAATGTATTTTGAGTAACTTTTTGAATTTATACGTTTTTTTAGTTTCCTTTATAATACTAGGTAGTTCGTCGTAGATTTTAGCACTTTCATATGTAATATATCTTTTGTCATAGTTTATTCTAAGTGGACGAAACACAAGTTTATTTGCATTTGTCAAACGCTTCGATTGGGTATTTTCGTGTTTGTATTTAAAAGTAATATTTGTATGTATTTCTTTAGATATTATTTTTCGTATCAGCAGGCATGAGTAATATTTATAAGTTGCAATAACATCCAATAATTTTGTTTCCTTATATAATTTTAGGGTAGGGGTTAGACATCGAGTATATAACCAAAATTAAATAATCGTTTAATAAGTTTATTTTGCGATATTTGTAGTATATTAAGATTACTTTTAGCTGCTGAACCCCAGATTTCGAGGTCTGGTGTTTATCAAAAAGAAGGCTAAGTATTTCTCATTATCTGAGTTTTCTATTATCTATTGTTAATGGTAAGTGGCTCGAACTTTGATATCACTTTGTTTTTGGCACATAAAATTACTATTTAAAAAAAAGACAATTACTAATTATTATTTAAAGTAAAAAACCACGATTCAAAACATTTCTTTTTAGAAATTTCAGAACTGTACCACACCATATGGGGGTAGACTAAAACAATATTCACTGAAAGAATGTGCGGAAAGAGGAAGTGATGGACATGAGAAAGAAGGCAACATAAGATCTTTATAATTTAATTTCAAAGTTTTTCTTGGAACTATACACTATACACTCAAAACATTTCATTAGACATACAGAGTGTAGACGGTGCGTAGCATTTTTAATTATCTATAGGTACACAATGAAAAAGCACTTGGGTATTTATTTGAATCGCAGCTGCGCCCCTGTTCCAAATGTACAGCAAATTTATTAAAGGAGCACTGGTATAGTGAGCTAAAGGTAAATGTGAACAAACATTGAAGTGCTAGTTTGTATGCATGTGGCCCGCCTAAGTAGTGAAATGTCTGTATGTAACAAATTACATCACTAATAAAATGCATTCTTCACCTAATAGAATTACAATATTTACACAAACATTTCGTCAGCGTCAGCGAAATATTATCTTTGTTCTTCGTTCACTCAGTTAAAACGTATTTATTCATTCCAGTAAAGTATCCTATCATTTACCTACATAGTGAGACTAATCAATTTTAACAGCAGCATAAATTTTCCTGATAAAAGTATATGCTGCGAAAAATCCTATTGTCCCCGTTAGAAGCCAGAATGTCAAAACCATGAGACCTGCAAAAAAACAAAAAAACTTGTTAAACAATTGGATGCTAACCAATATAATCATAGTTTTGCGAAAATGGCACCTAAAGCTATTTCGTTGTTGTTGATAGTTTGTTCTAAAATTTACTTATAAAATGAAACTTTTGCTGTTGTGCTTGTTGTTGTATGGTAATTATAGTAATACATCACAACAATTTATCACTAGAACAAACATAATCAAATATTATCAAAAATAACGAAAAAAAATAGGTGCCATTTTCGCAAAACTATGATCATATTGGTTGACACGTTATTTCTTATCTATAATATATATATATCAATAACATTTTGTTATAAATTCAATTTTTTTTGGATGTAAGTCGCAGATATTTGGTTTTTTTTTCAAACAAACCAACGTTTCGGGCCCTTTCCAGTTACCATGTGTATTTTTTTTCTAATCGATTCGAAAAAAAAGTAGTTCTATTTCCTATGTGTAACAATCGCGAAACCCTAAGAATTCGACACTTATTAGGGTTGTAAATTATAATCTTGAATAGTATTTACATGGTAAAAATTTTTGCATGTACTAAACATGCTTAATATGGGTGTCGACTTGAGCCGGTTAGAAAACCGGCTCAAGTCGATTTTATCAAAGAGCGAAGCAAGACGTTAGACGTGTCGCTTTCGCTCGGACCGCCCCGCACCGACGCGAAACGCACATTGTCTTTTCTTTTTCTCTCTTTCTCTGACATTAAAGAGGTTAATAATTCAGAGATGGAATCAACAAGCACGCCAGTCTTTAAGACACATACAGTCGGAATTCCGTTTCGGAATATCGATTCGAGATTTCGTACATACATCACACACATACGTTTATTTCCATTCGGAATAACAAGACTCAGCTGAGAGACACGACGCATTGGGTCCAGATATTCTCGCAGCGAAAATACGTACGGAATTTACGACTATGTGTTCAAGTGTGTTGCGTCTATGGAAGACTTGCATTCGGAACGACTTTTTCCGTGGAGAATTCCAAATACACAATCCACCATTATGGAATTTTGAATCGGAAAAATTCGAACGGAATAGTACTGTATGTGTGTGATAAGTCCGTGATTTGTATGAGTCCGGAATTTCGAAACGGGATTCCGACTGTATGTGGCCGGCCTAATACTTCGGAACTTTTATTATCTACGCTCACCATGGTAAAAATGAATGTGCAATTGTTGTAATAGTACTTCTCAATTAACGTTGAATTTACCTGTATAACCAATGTAAAGCAAGGTGGGTATGAATTCTGTGATTTCCAATTTCGTGAAGAAATAAAATATTGAGTAAATCAATATATACACAGCAGATCCACCAGAGACGATAAAGCTCTTCCACCACCAGTGGTAGTCCTGTCAAATACAAGTTAAGAAATGTTTCATATTGTGTTTATTAAGAAATATTATATAGTAAACTATATGTAGTAACAATATAAACCGCGGCTAATTAGCAAGATTCTTGTGACTCATTCTATGATTTAAAAATGAATATTTGCATATCCTTAATAATTTAATCTATAAGTTCTTGTCGTGTTCCCCTGTTATGAAGAACCAACCCATAGACTATAACTACGTGAATCTAGGTGACGGACATCAGCATTTCATTAAACTGTGTATCGAGTGTTCGACGACACTCGTGTCGTCTCGACAATCATGGCGAATAAAGAAAATAAAAAGGTATCCATTGGGGGATATTTAAAATCTGATGGTCTTTGATTCTAGTCATGTTGTGGGAATTTTGTAAAACTAATGTCTTCATAAATATTGTTGTCGGATGTTGATACCAGCGCCATTACTTCAGGGTCGAAAAGTTACTATTAAATGTGCACATACTCACTTCTCCACATAACTGGAAGTAGACCATAACAATAGATATTTGTGACACGGAAACCACCAAAATCCAAAATACTAGGAACAAAAATCCAAATAGGTAATAGAACTGGTTTTCCCACAGAGCATTGAAAATGAAAAACAGTTCAATGAAGACAGCACCAAATGGAAGAATACCGGCCATCAGAACGCTGAAATGAAATTTCATTTTCTGTTCAAACAATGACAAGGTTACACTGATCTTAGTTGTATAGTATCTTCTTGAATGTTATAATTCTTTGTTAACTGGTCATAAAACAAATTAAAGTGCACCTGAAATTTGTTAATGTTCATTATTATGAAAAGATTTTTGCTATCTCCATCTACCTATCAGCACATTATTTTAAAGTATACATAAATAGTTATAAATTAATATGTTGGCCCAATTGCTCTGCTACACTTACCATATAAAATAATTCATATACCAAACTTGCTCTGGCACTTTTCTTGGAATAAAATTAGTCCTCACTGGATGTTGGAATGGTTGCTTACGGCATCCGAAATAATAGCCCAAATACACTAATGGTAGAGATATGCAGAACCACAGGCACAATAAAGCCATCATAGTCGAAAATGGCACTGCACCACTGGAATGTTTTCCCACTAGGAAGAAATTTAAAAAGAAGCATGTGCCAAACACAATAGCTGGATAGAGTGTAGCCGTTAGGAACGCTGCTTGCTTCCATTGTTTCCCTTTCATGGTATTGTACAAGCGTGCAGAGTAGTAACCGGCGATGAGCCCCATGAACACATAGAGGAAAATGGCTGCCGTCATTAACGCGCCTCTACTTGCAGGTGACAACATACCAAGCATAGCAATGACTGAAAAAAAAAACAAACAAATTTTGACATCATACACAATGATTTCATTTATGTATTTATAAAACATGAAATAAAAAGGTTAATAGACATGTGTATGTACAGTCAACAAAGCTGAGTCTAGAGCTCTCAAAATGCTGTGAGATAAAACCTTGAAAGTTTAGTATTGTCTGTGTTGTACTAGAGTTGTAACGTTACCCAAATGGCTTATTGCAATATGGAATGCCACTCACATATCGTAATTAAAGCCATTAAGAATACTTGAATACCACTGCCAATCACAGCAGCAAACAGCATCCTTTTTGGAGGTGGCCTAAAGACATCTCCGTGCACTAATTTCCAGCCTGTTTCCTCCATCATGTCATCCAGACTTTCGTCGGAATTGTATCGTGCAATGTCCCTTCTTAATGTTCGAACCATAATCATTGTCAAGATTCCTGAAAATATTTGATTATTCATGCATCGAATTATCACACATATAATTTTTAATTTTAAGGTATACTCGCAATTTCTTTACCTGATAAAAAAAATAAAACAACAATGGAGTTGACAATCGAAAACCAATGTATTTGGACATCTTTCATATCTAAATAAATGTCCCATCTTGATGCCCAACTCACGTCGGATTCTCCCCATTCAACGGAATATGTGAAATATAATTTAGTTCCTGTGTCTTCATTTACCAGTTGTGGTTTAGTATCTACTGCAGGGAATGTACAAGAATCGTCAACAAATTTTAGCTCATCTTTGTCAACTGAGAATGTGTCAACTTCAAATCCTACAACTCTGTATGAATCTCTGTAAAGGTATAAACTTATGTTACAAAAACGATAAATATAGACAAGTAAATATAGACAGTTACAGATACCAGTGAAAAAAGTAAACAAGTAAAAAAGTTATTAGTTTTATTCGTCATTTAGAATAATGTGAAAAACCTAACATCAATTATACTTAAATTTAATATGATTTTGTTTCTTATGGACATTTTTCACAATTTTTTTCTTTGACAAAAAGTAATTGATTTAAAAAATGTGACTAGCAGTAAATAATTTTGATTAACACACTGATCATTTTGGATTTAACTTAATTGATAAATTTTAATAACAATGACAGTAACAAATTTTTTTATTGAATTGATATTCAATTATTTTTATGTGAAATTACTCCACTAGTTTGTATAATTATTAATACAAAGATCGAACACTCAGGCTAAAAGTCGTTGAAAAACCAAATACACAGATACGACGCAAGCACAGAAAAATTCGTGAGGTCCGCTGGTTCGTTCCGTGGCTTAATTGGTATAGCGTCTGCCACGGTATGCTAGAAGACGTCGATTCGAATCCGGCCGGATCGAAGGAATTTTTTCGAAGTGTTCGATCTTTGTATTAATAATTATAACAAAAAAAATGATAGTAACTATTTTAAAAAAATGGCTAACTGTATTGGTATAGCAGGGTAATGAATTTTCTTTTTAAATCTCTTTACAGATTGTATGTATAGTACACATACAATCTGTAAAGGGATTTAAAAAGAAAATTCGGTAGTGAAAATGGTGTTTACGCATGGCACTTGTTCTTAAGTTAATAAGACAAAATAGTTAATTACAGTCAAATACTTACTGACTATGTTTATGATATTTGAGAGACAATTTCAAATGGTTATTTATGTACGCTTTTCCTCTCGACATGAATCCGAGCCGGTAGCCTTGTTCTATTACCTTTTCCATTGATTCAGGGTCGATCACTCTAGTTGCAATGGGTAAGTTGTCAACTAATCTGTAATCATAGAATTAAATTTATGTTGTTAATATAACTCTTACTGAAATTTTATAAAACAAAATGACAAATACATTGTATTTGGTTGAAATTATATTTAAGAATTAAATTATTCTCTCTGCACTGAAGAATTTAAACAATTTATCAATAAACATGTAGGTACAATATTGACTTTTTATTTATAACATCAAGTGATGGGACGAACAAGTTGTATGCCTAACGGTAAGCTACACGCCACAGTTACAGTGCCAGTCAGAGCTTTAAATTGCAAAGATCTGAGGGCCACTACCACTGCACCCATCACCCTGAGACAAGTTGGCAAGTCCCATGTGCCTGTAATTTCACCAGATTCGATACATATGGAAGAAAGAAAGAAACAGTTATTCAGCTTAAGAAAAATTAAAACAGAACAGACAATACAAATTATTGATCACATATACCTATAAGCTGAAACGGATCCAACTCGGCATTCGTCACAGCTCGCCTGCTGTAACGCTGGCTTTAATTTGGAACCACTTTTATAAGATGAGATGACATGTAAGTACTATATGGGATGTGTGATTGAATTTTTGATAAGAGAGCATGATAGCTTACTGCTGGTGATTGACACAACTTGACAAGTATGGACTGCTATACATTGACAGGCCTTCTTCATTATTCTGGGAGCAATATTAGAACAAAAGAGTACAGCTTGATGTGTTGTTGAATGTAGAAATGAACTTTAGCAGAATAATGAAATAAAAAGGATTTGAATTCAATTTATGTTAAATCTGTATCATTTCTAAACAATGAATACATAAGTATGTAAACAAGTATGCTTCTTGAGGGCACATATAGCTGTCAAACCTCAACATTTGCATGCACTTTAACATTACAAAAGTTGAAATCTGCCAAAATGCGATGGAATGGAGCTTGTTAGACACAATTTTTTTTAAGATTTAAAATTATTTTTAATAAGGCCTGTAACACTTGGGTGTCAATGTCGGCCTTGTGATGTCAATCCCTGTGGATTATTCTACTATATCGTGTCGCCTCATAGTGAGAGACAAGACCTCCCATATGAGTATAGTGTTTTAGCCCTCTTCGCCAACGGGTCACCCAACACAACATTTAACTCCCCAATCTGCCCAATAACCCATAATTGAAATTGGCTTCTTAGAGTCACATAATGGCCACATTCATAATAACAACGCATACACTCAACATTGCCCGCGCACTACACACACACATAGACAACCACAAATTACCCAAACTCATGAGAGAAATAAATGTAAGCCATACAAATATTACTCCTAGTCTGGGAATCGGACCTGGGACTTCTGCATGGTAACCATTCGGCCAAACACAACGAGGTAGATTAAATAAGTAGCATATAGGTGAAAACCATTAGAGAAAGACATGTACAGAATTGGAAGAGGCGTGAACAACAATGTGGAACAGAAAAAAATTAAATAATGTGAATTTTCATTATTTTAACTACAACAAAACTTTAGGACTGGCAGGATGTAAAAACCAATTTCACAAAATATGAGATATTAATGTAAGTGGCAATATTTTCATTTCAAAAGTTAAATATGTGATAAATGCCCTTCCTTCGCTTCAGCATCGATATACACATACAAATTTAATTATTTATACTACTTACAAATGCACAAAATATTCCCGCTCAATACGACTTGCAACCTTCTCAGACTCTTCTACGCTCCAGTTTATTGGATTATTTTTGTGATGGCAAAGAAGCCGGCACTTGACATTCTCAGCCATGTGAACTTCGTAAGGTGTATTTACAATGCGGTCCCCTCTCAACACTTCACCAAGATTTTCAGATTTATAAACAAACGTTCCATTCTTTGGCAAACAAAATGGCAAAGAGTAATACTCGTATGGAAGTTGTGTATGTATACTCGTCATTTTGACTGCTTTCACTTCAATTCTTTGGCCTTTCTTAAACTCCACAGGTGCCACACCAGGAACATAGAATCCATTGCTAAAACTTATCACACTGCCTAAAAGTAGGAAGCAACAAAGTCGAGCCTGCAATAAAATATATTGGTTTATTAGAGACAAGAAATAATTATCAACAGAGTATATAAAAAAAAGAAATTACGTACCCTAAACATTTCTGTAATTTTTGTACTTAATATTGAATCAATGCAAATTATACATTTTATTAGTAGTTTTAGGTGCAATAGCGCTATTAACATTCACTACATAGATACAACAACCTGAGTAGTTCTTTGGCTTTGCTAAAAAATGGTATACTGAGGTGTAAATTACGAGACAAACCGATAATAATAATTATTATTGTTAGAAAAGGAACAGTGCTGCAGTGAGTGGTCCGGAAGGCAGCACAAACGAGCTGCACAGAGAGTCTGCT